CAGCCTGGGCAACATGGCAAAACCTGTCTCTACTAAAAACATGAAAAATTGTCTGGGCATGTCTCAATAAACCAACAAACCCAAACCAGAAACAGTAAGTTCTCTTCAATAGCTTAGTGGGGTTCCAGCAAAGAGAAGACAGGAGACATACCTGCAGCATCAGAGAACAGTCCGCAGGCATCAGAGACAGTTGGATGACCTTCCGCTTTAGGGCAGACAAGGAGAGATCCTGTATTGCTTTGCCGAATATCTTACATATTCACACACTGTATAGGGACTCCAGACAGGGTTGCCAGTTTACGAAATAAAAAATACAAGATACCCAGTTAAATTGAATTTCAGATATAAATAATAAATTAATAACTTTTTAGTCTAAGTGTGTCCATGAACTATCTGGGACACACTTATACTAAACATTTGTCTTTTTTTGGTTTATCTGAAATTCAAATTCAACTGTTCTGTATTTTACTTGTAACTCTATACCTGGGCCACAGTTGAGTTCATAACTTTTCCTATCAGTTCATGGAGCTACAAGAAAGTTTTTGCTAGATGTCCCAAGAGAAAGCAAGAGATAGAAAAAGAGAGGATAAGATTTTCCTAGTTTTTCTTGTTTGGGAAAAGCTCTTTGAAACAAGTCATGCTAGTATAGGGGAAAAATAAAAATCCTCATAGATTCTTAGTTGGAACAGACCTCTGTCACAAAAGACATATTAACAGGAGAAAAATAAACCTAAGTTTTTTAACGTATGGCTGGGCTCAGTGGCTCACACCTGTAATCCCAGCACCTTAGGAAGTTGAGGTAGGCCGATTGCTTGAACTCAGGAGTTTGAGGCCAGCCTGGGTAACATGGTAAAAGCAAACAAACGAAAACAACAAATTAGTCAGGTGTGGTGGCCCATGCCTATAGTTCCAGCTACTAGGGAGACCAAGGTGGAAGGATCGCTTAAGCCTGGAAGGTTGAGGCTACAGTGAGCTGTGATCATGCCACTGCACTCCAGTCTGGGTGACAGAGTGACATCTTGTCTCAAAAAGAAGAAAAGTTTTTAAACATATTTTATAAACACATGGGAGACAGAGAGAGCATGAGCAGTTCTCAGAGAGATAGCTTTGTATTCCTGCTTATATGGCATCTTCAACAAAAAACACTAAACCAGCTGTGGTGGCACACACCTATAATGTCAAGTACTTGGCAGGCAGAGGTGGGAGGATCTCTTGAGGCCAGGATTTTGAGACCAGCCTGGGAAACTGATACGGTTTGGCTCTGGGTCCGCATCAAAGCTCATGTTGAATTGTGATCCCGAGTGTTGGAGGTGGGTCCTGATGGGAGGTGACTGAATCACGGAGGTGGCTTCTAATGCTTTAGCATCATCCCCCTAGTGCTGTCTCCTGATGGAATTATCACGAGATCTGGTGTTTGAAAGTGTGTAGCACCTCCCACTTCACTCTCTTCTTGTTCCGGCCATGTAAGACATGCCTGCTTCCCCTTTGACTTCCACTGTGATTGTAAGTTTTTGAGGCCTTCCCAGTCACTCCTCCTGTACAGCCTGTGGAACTGTGAGTCAATTAAACCTCTTTTCTTTATAAATTACCTAGTCTCAGATTTTTTTTTTTTTAAGACTAGTCAAGTGCAGTAGTGAGCTCAGATAGGTTTTTTTTTTTTTGAGATGGAGATTTGCTGTTGTTACCCAGACTGGAGTGCATGGCACAGCTCACCACAACCTCCGCCTCCTGGGTTCAAGCAATTCTCCTGCCTCAGCCTCCCGAGTAGCTGGGACTACAGGCGCGTGCCACCATGCCCAGCTGATTTTTGTATTTTTAGTAGAGATGGGGTTTCACCTTGTTGACCAGGATGGTCTCAATCTCTTGACCTCATGATATACCCGCCTTAGCCTCCCAAAGTGCTGGGATTACAGGCATGAGCCACCGTGCCCGGCCAAGCTCTGATAGTTTTTAATAGCAATGTGAGAATGGGCTAATACAGCAACAAATATTAATAGTATGCTTGCACTGGACGTGGTAGCTCATACCTTGTAATCCCAGCACTTTGGGAGGCTGATGCGGGTGGATCACTTGAGGTCAGGAGTTTGAGACCAGCCCTGGTTAACATGGCAAAACTACGTATCTACTAAAAATACAAAAATTAGCTGGGCATGCATGGTGGTACATTCCTGTAATCCCAGGTACTCAGGAGGGCGAGGCAGGAGAATCACTTGGACCCAGGAGGCAGAGGTTGGGCAGTGAGCTGACATCAATCTGTTGCACTCCAGCCTGGGCAACAGAGTGAGACGGTCTCAAAAAAAAAAAAAAAAAAGAAAAAGAAATAGGCCTGGTGTGGTGGCTCACACCCATATTCCCCGCACTTTGGAGGCCGAGGTGGGTGGATCACTTGAAGTTGGGTTCTAGATCAGCCTGGCTAATGTGGTGAAACCCCATCTCTACTAAAAATACAAAGATTGGCTGGGTGTGGTGGCATGCACCTGTAATCTCAGCACTCAGGAGGTTGAGGCAGGAGAATCTCTTGAACCTGGGAGGCGGAGGTTGCAGTGAGCAGAGATCGAACCACTGCACTCCAGCCTGAGCAATAAGAGCAAAAATCCATCTCAAAAAATAAAAAATAAAAATAGCACACTTTCAGAGAAGTGAGAAAACAAGGAATAGGACTTTACAGGTCTATGATGCCAGCCTGGGGGAAGGCAAATAACTGACAGGTAAAAGCTAATTAGTTAAGCTTGTTTGCTTGTTTGTTTGTTTAGGTAGAGTCTTTCTCTGTTGACAGGCTGGAGTGCAATGGTGTGATCTTGGCTTACTCAAACCTCCGCCTCTTGGGTTCAAGTGATTCTCATGCCTCAGCCTCCCAAGTGGCTGGGGTTACAGGCACGCACCACCACACCCAGCTAATTTTTGTATTTTTAGTAGAGACGGGGTTTCATCATGTTGGCCAGGAGGATCTCAATCTCTTGATCTTGTGATCTGCCCACTTCGGCCTCCCAAAGCTGGGATTTACAGGCGTGAACCACTGCACCTCGACATACTTAAACTTATTTACGTAGATTCCTGTATTGCCACCTCTAGTCCAACAGTCTCTAAAGCTGTCTTTGGTAGTTGACCTTTGTTATCCTTGGTAGAAAGGGGGGCAGAGTACCTTTTTAAAAAAATATATAATAAATTATGTCTTGCTTTTAGGCAATAGAAGGAGGGCAGAAAGCTTTCCCACATTTGCTTCTTTTTCTTTTTTTGAGACAGAGTTTTGCTCTTGTTGCCCAGTAGGCTGGACTGCAGCAGTGCTATCTCGGCTCACTACAACCTCCTCCTCCTGAGTTCAAGTGATTTTCCTGCCTCAGCCTCCTAAGTAGCTGGGATTACAGGCATGTGCCACCACATCCAGCTAATTTTGTATTTTTTTATTATTAGTTTTTTATATTTTTTTCTTTTTTAAAGATGGGGTTTCACCATGATGGCCAGGCTGGTCTTGAACTCCTGACCTCAGGTGATCCACCCACCTCAGCCTCCCAGAGTGCTAGGATTACAGGCGTGAGCTGCCGCGCCTGGCCGTAATTTTGTATTTTTAGTAGAGATGGGGTTTCTCCATGTTGGTCAGGCTGGTCTCAAACTCCTGACTTCAGGTGATTCACCCGCCTCGGCCTCCCAAAGTGCTGTGATTGCATGCGTGAGCCACTGCGCCTGGTCTGCATTTGCTTCTTTTTTACTGTCTCCAGCCCAATAATCTTTCATATTTTACTAAGGCATATTTTGGTCCCTTACCCTAGGCCAGCATTTGGATGGCCCTGTCCTAGCTCTACCTCTGGCTTAAACAGGGGAGGCCATGGTGATGGGTTTTTGGTGCGGGGAGGGGGTGGGATGGGAGAGTGTGTGTGTGTAGGATCACACACAATTTGTCTATGTAGACAGAAGGCAATTAGGCATGTAAATTATCTAGAGCACATCTGCCAGCAGGGTTCCTCATCCTGTCTACCTTTCACCTTCTTTGTTATAGTTCCTCTTACCTCAAGTCAATGCTGGTCCCTGTCCTCCCTTAGTCTCAAGACTCCAGGATATAAATCTTGTGTTTTTTGGCCTAATTAACTGCCTGTGGATACCCCAAGTTCCAGTCAGGTGGACTTTGCTGCCTGCTTCCTTTTTTGTTTTTCACTTTTGCTAATAATATTCCAGCTATCTAAAATATAGTCACTATAAATCTGTATTCATCCAGATCATTCAAGGTTCCATTAAAGTCCCTCAGGTCTAGGAAATCTTTTCCCACTCCAATCTGTACTGTTGTTTTCCCAAACTTTCTGAGTTATCCAATATACTTAAGCATCTCAAAAGTTTTATTGGACTGTGGACTGTTTCCCTTGCTTTTTTAAAATTTTATTTTATTTTAGATGGAGTTTCTCTCTTGTTGCTCAGGCTGGAGTACAGTGGCGAGATCTCGACTCACTGCAACCTCTGTCTTCTGGGTTCAAGTGATTCTCCTGTCTCAGCCTCCCTAGTAGTTGGGATTAAAGGTGTCTGCTACCATGCCTGGATAATTTTTTGTATTTTTAGTAAAGATGGGGTTTCATCAGTTGGCCAGGCTGGTCTTGAATTCCTGACCTCAGGTGATCCATCCACCTGGGCCTCCCAAAGTGCTGGGATTACAGCTGTGAGCCACCATACCTAGCTGGTTTCTCTTTTTTAAATGGAAAATAAATATCATAGCAATATTATAAAATATCTTTTTGAAAATTTTAAGTAGACTTCTAAGCTTTTTTTTTTTTTTTTTTTGAGACAGAGTCTCACTCTGTCACCTAGGTTGGAGTGCAGAGGTGTGATCTTGGCTCACTGCAACCTCTGCCTCTTGGGTTCAAGCAATTCTCTGCCTCAGCCTCCCAAGTAGCTGGGATTACAGGCACCTGCCACCATGCCCAGCTAATTTTTTTGTATTTTTAGTAGAGATGATATTTCACCACTTTGGCCAGGTTGCTCTTGAACTCTTGACCTCATGATCCACTGGCCTTGGCCTCCCAAAGTGCTAGGATTACAGGCATGAGCCACTGCACCTAGCCTGCCTTCTAAGCTTTATAACATACATACATAGTTTATATAGCTACTGCATGTCCCAAATGCATGTCCTAGATTTGGTGATCTGAAAGCAAGGTCCCTTCTCTTCTAGCTCCAAATAGCAACAACCTAAGAGGACAATTAATCCATCTTGGGACATATGCCCACCACAGATTGTCCATGACTTTGAACAAATGTCTGGGTTCAAGGGTATGGGCTACTATGTTTGGCGAAATCTAGGTCACTCTGTTTGGAAAACTCTGCCCCTACCGCAAAATCTCTCTCTCTTTCCCTCCCCCACAAAGAGGCTCCCTTATCTCTCACTTTACATACCGGCCCTAGCCCTCCCGCCGCCCAGCTTCCCACCCAGCAGTTCAAACTGACCAACAGTTGCCCACCACCTCGGCTTTTGGCTTCCCCACCCCCCAGCCCTTCAGCCCCCTATAAAACAACCCTGCCCCTCTGAGCAGCGCGGCCATTTTTCCTTTTCGTCCCAGCTGGCCCGCCCGGAGGCTCTTTCCTCTCAATAAAGCCTGAACTTAAGGAATTTCCTCTAGCCTGCGGTCCAGTTTCTTTCCCAATGAGCCCAGTCTTCCCGCAGAGGGTAGGTCGGACAAATGGTGCCGGAAACCCGGGACGGGAGCTGAGGCCGTTGGCCCGGCCACGGCCCCCCTCCCCGACCTACCCAACACTGGCCCTGCCACCTCCACGTTCCGATTAAGGTAAGCCAAGTTTTTCTTGCTTTGCCTTCCCCCGCTTCCCGTCTCCTCTTCCTACGGCATGGTGCAGTTGCTCCCTCTCCGGCGTTCCGCACGGACTCCTTGCCTAGTCTCGGCCGAGCCAAGGTAGTCTTCCGTTCCGGCTCCAGGAGCCTTCTGAGGGACAGCCGCCAGACGGGGGACGCCCCTCTGACCGCTTCCCTTTCCGTACTTAATTGTACTCCGGGGAATTTGCAACGAATGGGGACGCCTTTTCGTTGCATCTGCCCATCCGCGCCGGAGAGTCTGTAGCTGCGCCTGCCATGGGAAATTCGGAGTCCAAAATACCTCTGAGCACCCCCCTCGGGTGCTTGCTGCGAAATTTTACCAAATTGGGATATTCCCAAACCCTCAGAAAGAAAAAGCTTATTTTCCTGTCCCAGGTGGCTTGGCCCCAATACAAACTCAGTAACCAGTCACATTGGCCCCCGACTGGCACTTTTCATTTCAACACCCTCCGAGATCTCGACGATTTTTGTCGCCGCACGGGCAAGGACAATGAAATTCCTTACGTCCAGGCTTTTTGGGACCTCCGTACCCACCCCAACCTATGTTCTTCGTGCTCCACCTACCAAATCCTCTTATCTCGAACCCCCCCGTAAATCTTCCTCCACTACCTCTCCCCCTCCCTACTCCTCACCGGAGGATCTGCCTGAACATCTGTCCTCTCCTGCCAATCTCAGCAACCAGTCGCCATCAACGGCACGCCCTTCCCCCACTCCCCTCTGCACCTCCTACCTCAGAGGCCATGCCTCGCTCTCCCTCTACACCCTCCGAGCCCCCTCCCTCAGAGGCCGCACTTCCTCTTGCCTCTCCGGTGGCGGCCCACACCCACTCCCACCAGCCAGCTATCCTGGCCCCACTCCGAGAAGTGGCAGGCGCAGAAGGTTTAATCAGGGTCCATGTTCCTTTCTCACTCCAAGACCCGTCCCAAATTGAGACACGTTTAGGATCCTTCTCAGCCAACCCGTCCACATATATTAAAGAATTCCAATACCTCACTCAAGCATAAGAAGCCCTAGTCTGGTATACTCGACTAGACCCAGCCTCCCAAAATGGGGCCACTGTATTAGCCTCCCACTTTATCTCCCAATCAGCACCCGACATAAGAAAGAAACTAAAGAAAGCAGAAGAGGGGCCAGAGACTCCCATCCAAGACCTGGTAAAAATGGCCTTTAAAGTATTCAATGCCATGGAAGATGCGGCTGAGGCTGCCCGCCAAACTCGCATGAAGCAGAAGGCTGCCCTCCAGACCCAAGCCCTAGTGGCGGCTCTAAGGCCGGCAGGGAACCAGAAGCCCAAGGCCGAAACCCAGGGCATGTTTCAAATGTGGAAAGGAAGGACACTGGTCCCGAGCCTGTCCACAACCATGGCCACCAACTAAGCCTTGCCCTATCTGTCGGCTCCCGGGACACTGGAAGTCAGACTGCCCCAGCTTCCCCAGGGTGCCGGTTCCTCAAAACAGACACACTGGCGTTACGCAGCCGGCGGTCACCCTCAGTAGGGAGGAGCCTGCTTGCCAGGAGCCGACCTCCGAGGGAGCTCCGTTCCCCAGTCTACTAGGGCTGCTAGATGACTAGCGGGGCCCTGGCTTTCCGACTCCAGTTACCCTCGCCGAGCCTAGGGTCACAAGACATGGGGGCTACCTACTCCGCACTTCCTTCTTATTCTGGCCATCTCACCCCTTCCCAGGTCTTAGTCATGGGAATCGATGGGACCCCGAGTATCCCCTACCAAACCCCACCACTCATGTGCTCATATAACTCCACTCCATTCACCCACTCCTTTTTAGTAATCCCCACCTGCCCAGTTCCCCTTCTGGGGCGAGACATCCTTTCAAAGCTGAAGGCCGTCATAACCTTCCCCACCGCCAGCCCACATAGCCTTTTTCTCCTAGCCCTCAATACTCTGCCTCGGAACTCCAGGCCCTCCAGTCTACCCCCGGGGTACGGTTCAAGGATGACTGGGCCTTCAAGCATAACCTCCTCATCCTCCCTGAAAAGCAAAGGTACCAGATAATCCAAGACATCCATAATTCACTCCACATTGGGCCTAAAGCCTTATACCAGTTCCTCCACCCACTTTTTCACCCCCACCGCCTCCTCAATACCAGACAGGAAGTCCAGTCCTCATGTACTGTCTGCGTGAAAACTAATTCCCAGAGTTCCTGTCATCCTCGGCGCCAGCTTCATCAGCTACGCGGGTTCCTACCTGGCCAAGACTGGCAAATTGATTTCACCTATATGCCAAAGCACAAACAGTACCAGTATCTGCTAACCATTGTTGACACTTTTTCAGGCTGGATTGAAGCTTACCCCACAGCCTCTGAGTCTGCCGGGACAGTAGCCACTCATCTCATTCAAGACATCATCCCACGCTTTGGACTCCCAGCTACCATACAGTCAGACAACGGCCTAGCCTTTATCTCCAAAGTCACTAATGCCGTTTCTACCTCTCTAGGAATTCAGTAGAAGCTACATGCCGCCTACCATCCCCAGTCCTCTGGTAAGGTAGAACGGGCCAATGGCCTAATAAAGGAGCATCTGACCAAGCTCATGCTTGAGCTCCGCCAATCCTGGGTAACCTTACTTCCTATCGCCCTCACCAGAGTAAGAGCAAGCCCCCGGGGCCCATCACAGCTTAGCCCATCTGAGCTGCTGTATGGTTGCCCCTTCCTGCTTTCAACTCCCCCACCGCCAGAGACTACTCCTCTAGACAGCTACCTCCCCTACTTTACTCAGGATTAGGAGGAGGGGCACTAGTCCACTCTCACCTGGCCATAGCCCGACTGACCTCACAACTCCAAGCGGCTATTGATGACTCTACTGAGTCTTTAGCATCACTCCAACGACAGATCACCTCAGTTGCCCAAGTTGCCTTGCAGAACCGAAGAGCCCTGGACCTGCTCACTGCTGAATGAGGAGGGACCTGTATCTTCCTACAGGAAGAGTGCTGTTACTACATCAATGAATCCGGCCTAGTAGAAACCCGAATCGAGAGCCTCCAGAAACTCAAAACTAACCTGCAGAGTCAGAAGTTCTCGGCTGAAGCCACGGCGTGGTGGTCTTCCTCTATGTATACCCTCTTGTCCCCATTGCTTGGGCCCCTAGTAGCTGTTTGCCTAATCTTACTTATTGCTCCTTGCTTTCTACAGTTCCTATAGCGGCGCTTTCAAGAACTGACTCGAGTCACCATCCACCAGATGCTGCTCCAACCCCACCCTGAACGAGTGCAAGAAACAGACCTCTCCCCGAACATCCAGGCTCGTTAAGAAAAGAGACCTCTTCAGAACCCCCATCGACCCTTGTCAGCAGGAAGTAGCTAGAGAGACAACCGACGCCCCTGACCCCCTCTTTTTCTTTTCTTTAAGGAGTCGGGAATGTTTGGAAAACTCTGCCCCTACCGCAAAATCTCTCTCTCTTTCCCTCCCCCACAAAGAGGCTCCCTTATCTCTCACTTTACATACCGGCCCTAGCCCTCCCACCGCCCAGCTTCCCACCCAGCAGTTCAAACTGACCAACAGTTGCCCACCACCTCGGCTTTTGGCTTCCCCACCCCCCAGCCCTTCAGCCCCCTATAAAACAACCCTGCCCCTCTGAGCAGCGCGGCCATTTTTCCTTTTCGTCCCAGCTGGCCCGCCCGGAGGCTCTTTCCTCTCAATAAAGCCTGAACTTAAGGAATTTCCTCTAGCCTGCGGTCCGGTTTCTTTCCCAATGAGCCCATTCTTCCCGCAGAGGGTAGGTCGGACAACTCTATGTGTATTAGTTTGTTTTTGCATTGCTGTAAAGAAATACTTGAAACTAGGTAATTTATAATGAAAAGAGACTTAGTTGGCTTATGGTTCTGCAGGCTGCACAGGAAGCATGCGAGCATCTGCTTGGCTTCTGGGGAGGCCTCAGGAAGCTTCCAATCATAGTGGAAGCCAAAGGGAGAGCAGATATCTTACAGAACAGGATTAAGAGGTGGGGGGAGCAGTGCTACTCATTTTAAAAAACCAGATCTCATGATCACTCACTCACTCACTGCCACAAGAACAGCACTCGTTCTGTGCTGGTGCTAAATCGTTCATGAGAATCACCTCCATGATCCAATCGCCACCTACCAGGCCCCATCTGCATAAGATGTTGTGATTGATAGTCCCACCAGATTGACAGAAACAGAGGATGAGGATCAACAGGTGGAACTGGCAATAATGGACAGACAGAAACAAATGACATCTAAAAATAAAGGTTCTTATAAGTTTCGGTAGAATAACCCCGTCCCCTCAAATTTTGTCATCCTTTGGTGAATTATAAACAAAAAGTTTATGAAACTATAAAAATGAGCACTAAATTTTCAGCCTGTGATACCTGTCAGAGAGCACTCTGACTTAAATAATATTGATTTTACTTAATTGTATTTTCTTTCATTTGAGTGTTAGAATGAATTTTATAATAACCAGATGGCATAAAAAAATGTAAGATGGGATCATTGTTCTTCTTTTAAAGAGTAGTACATTGTTCAGGTGTGGTGGCTTGTGCCTGTAATCCCAGCACTTTGGGAGGCTGAGAAAGATGGATTGCTTGAGGCTAGAAGTTCAAAACCAGACTGGCCAACATGGTGAAACCCCATCTCTACTAAAAATACAAAAAATTAGCTGGGCATGCTGGCGGGCACCTGCAATCTCAGCTATTGAAGAGACTGAGGCAGGAGAATCACTTGAATGAAGGAGGCAGAGGTTGCAGTGAGCTGATATCATGCCATTGCGCTCCAGCCTGGGCAACAAGAGCAAAACTCTGCCTCAGAAAAATTAAAAAGAAAGAAAATAAAGAGAAGTACATTGAGTCTTGGAGGGATGCAACAAAAAACCAAAAGCCAGTCCTGGGGATCAGGAAGACAGGAGGCAAGACTAGATTGCAGCTTCCATTTGGACAGAGCAGAGCAGCATGTGAAGGCTTGCATTGTGAACTTTTGCTCCAGAATGACTGCAGGAATTAATCAGGAAAGCTGAGAGAACCCACAGACCCTCTGAAGGAAGCAGATTGCTCCTGCAGGACCTAAGAGACACCCCAAATTCTGTGAGTGCCCAAACTGTGGAAGTTCAAAAGGATTATTTGCCCCTGGACACACTCTCCCCTTGGGGAACCTGAAGGTCTAGATCACGGGAGAAGACTCTGACCTTACCTGGAGCTGAGTCAATTTAGAGAGCTAAGCGAAATACAGGGTAGAAGAAGCAGTGGGAACTGCTGGGTCCCCTAGTAAGCCATTTCTGCCTTGCCTCACAGGATCTTTGGCGAGGGTTGCCAGAGAAACTGGGGAAAGGCCACAGGGGGAAGAAAACCTCCAGATGAACTTCGTAACAATTTGAATGAGAAGTCTTCTGGCCAGAACTCAACACAGAGTGCAGATGCCACAGGTGGGGGAAGAACAAAAGCCCTACTTGCTGTTGCAGCTGGGTAGCCTGAGGCAAGTTTTCCGCCCTGCAGGCCCACTGCTTGGAAACAGACTCAGAGCTTTCGCGCCAGCACAGTGGGAGTGGCCTTTTGAGTTGTGTGGAAGCTGGGTGAGGCCTGTGACTGTAGGCTTTCCCCCACTTTTCTGACAACCTGCATGACACAGTAGAAGCAGCCATAATCCTCCTAGGAACATAACCTCACTGACCTGGGAACCAACCCCTCATCCCCCACAGCAGCTGCAGCAAGACCCGCCCAAGAAGAGACTGAATGCAGATACACATAGCCCTGCCCCCACCTAATGGCCCTTCCCTATCCACCCTGGTAGCTAAAGACAAAGACATATACAGCCCTGCCCACCACCTGATTCTCCCCATAGTACCACAGCTGATACTGTCTTAAAAGTGCCTCTTCCCAGCAGGAGGTCAATCAGCACATAAATAGTTGAACAATCCAAACTAAGGACCCGCACAGAGTCCTTCAACCACCTGCCACCTCCACTGGAGCAAGTGCTGGTATCCACGGCTGAGAGACCCACAGACAGTTCACATCACAGGATTCTGTGCAGACAACCGCTAGTACCAGCCAGGAGCCTGGTAGACTTGCTGGTTGGCTAGATCCAGAAGAGAAATAACAATCATTACAGCTTGGCTCCCAGAAAGCCACATATAAGAAAAGGGTGAGAGTTCTACATCAAGAGAACACTTTGTGGGACAAAAGAATGAACAACAGCCTTGAGCCCTAGATCTTCCCTCTGACAGAGCCTACACAAATGAGAAGGCACCAGAAAACCAACTCTGGTAATATGACAAAACAAGGTTGTTTCACATCCCCCAAATAATCACACTAGCTCACAAGCAATGGATCCAAACCAAAGATCCCTGATTTACCTGAAAAAGAATTCAGAAGGTTTTTAAGCTAATCAAGGAGGAACCAGAGAAAGGTGAAGGAAATTTAAAAAAAATACAAGAAATGAAGGGAAAAATTTTCAACAAAATAGATAGCATAAATTTAAAAAACAATTTAAACTTCAGGTAACAATGGATGCATTTATAGAAATGTGAAATGCTCTGGAAAGTCTCGGCAATAGAATTGAACAAGTAGAAGAAAGAACTTCAGAGCTCAAAGACAAGGTTTTCAAATTAACCCACTCCAACAAAGACCCCCACACACAAAAAAGAACATATGAACAATGCCTCCAAGAAGTCTGAGATTATGCTAAATGACCAAACCTAAGAATAATTGTTTTTCCTGAGAAAGAAGAGAAATCTAAAAGTTTGGAAAACATATTTGGGGGAAAAATCAAGGAAAACTTCCCCAGCCTTGCTAGAAACCTAGACATCCAAATACAAGAAGCTCAAAGAACACCTGGGTAATTGATCGCAAAAAGATAATTGCTTAGGCACATTGTCATCAGGTTATCTCAAGTTAAGATGAAGGAAAGAATCTTAAGAGCTGTGAGGCAACAGCATCAGATAACCTATAAAGGAAAACCTATCAGATTAACAGCAAATTTCTCAGCAGAAACCCTACAAATTAGAAGGGATTGAGGCCCTATTTCAGACTCCTTAAGCAAAATAATTATCACTAAGAATTTCATATCCAGCAAAACTAAGCTTCATAAATAAAGAAAACATACAGTCTTTTTCAGACAAACAAATGCTGAGAGAATTCACCATTACAAAGCCAGCAATATAAGAACTGCTAAGAGGAGCTCTAAATTTTGAAATAAATCCTGGAAACACATAAAGAACCTCTTTAAAGCATAAATCCCACAGGACCTATAAAGCAAAAATAAAATTAAAAACCCAAAACCAAGTTATTTAGGCAACAAACATGATGAATGGAATGGTCCCATACATCTCAATACTAACATTGAATGTAAATGCCCTAAATGCTCCACTTAAAAGATAAAGCATTACAGAATGGATAAGAATTCACCAACCAGGCCGGTGCAGTGGCTCAAGCCTGTAATCCAGCACTTTGGGAGGCCAAGGAGGGTGGACAGGTGGATCACGAGGTCAAGAGATCGAGACCATCCTGGTCAACAAGGTGAAACCCCGTCTCTACTAAAAATATAAAAAATTAGCTGGGCATGGTGGTGTGTGCCTATAATCCCAGCTACTCAGGAGGCTGAGGCAGGAGAATTGCCTGAACCCAGGAGGCGGAGGTTGTGGTGAGCCGAGATCGCGCCATTGCACTCCAGCCTGGGTAACAAGAGTGAAACTCCGTCTCAAAAAAAAAAAGAATTCACCAACCAACTATCTGCTACCTTCAAAGAGAGTCACCTAACCATAAGGACTCACATAAACTTAACGTAAAGGGATGGAAAAAGACATTTCATGCAAATGGACATCAAAAGCAAGAAGGAATAACTACTCTTATAAAAAACAAACTTTAAAGCAATAGCAGTTAAAATGGACAAAGAGGGACATTATGTATTGATAAAAGGCATTGTCCAACAGGAAAATACCAAAATTCTAAATATATATGCATCTAACACCGAAGATCCCAAATTTATAAAACAATTACTAACAGATCTAAGAAGTGAGATAGAGAGCAACACAATAATAGTGGGAGTCTTCAATACTCCACTGACAGCACTAGACAAGTCATCAAGACAAAGTCAACAAAGAAACAATCGATTTAAATCATACCCAGGAACAAATGGACTTAATAGCCATTTATAGAACATTCTACCCAATAACCACAGAAGATACATTCTATTCATCAGCACATGAAACTTTCTCCAAGATAGACCATATGATAGGCCATGAGATGAACCTTAATAAATTTAAGAAAATGGAAATTATATCAAGCATTCTCTCAGACCACAGGGGAATAAAACTGGAAGTCAATCCCAAAAGGAACCTTCAAAATCATGCAAATACATGGCAATTAAATAACCTGCTCCCGAATGAGCGTTGGGTAAAAAACAAAATCAAGATGGAAATTAAAAAATTCTTCAAACTGGATGACAATAATGACACAACCTATCGAAACCTCTGGGATACAGCAAAGATGATGCTAGGAGGAAAGTTCATAGTCCTAAATGCCTACATCAAAAAGTCTGAAAGAGCCCAAACAGACAATCTAAGGTCACACCTCAAGGAACTAGAGAAACAAGAACACAGCAAGCCCAAACCAAGCAGAAGAAAAGAAATAACCAAGATCAGAGCAGAACTAAATGAAATTGAAACAAAAAACAAAATAGCAAAAGATAAATGAAACAAAAACCTGGTTCTTTGAAAAGATAA